GAAGGGGGGAGGGGTTCTTGTTGTTGTGCAGGGGGTTTGTTTGTTTGTTTGTTTGTTTGTTTGTTTGTTTGTTTGTTTGTTTTTAAGCCTAACAAAACAAACTGTTCCTATTCTGTTGGAAAATCTTTGTGTATATAACATTTGATGATTCAGTAACAGTGTTAGGGCAGACAGCTCTTTCTTCTTTCAGATTTTAGATGACTGGTTTATATGACATAAAGGATCTGGGAGAACCTTACCATACTGTTAAGTGGGGGGAATAATACCACAGTTGCCATTGTGGAAAATAAGAGCCTACCTGAATGGTGAAGTTTTGCAAAGCAAAAACCAATCCCAACTTTTCCACATCTGTGTGAAATAAAATCAGACACCTACCTTCTGATACCTAAACTTCAGGTTTTAAAAACATGGAACATGGATCTGATGCACTCCTCATTGTGGTTTTACAAGACTAATAGCTGACTCAGGTTTTGCTAAAGTAATACAACTCCTGCTTTTGCCAAATTCTCCCTTACAAGGAAGGGACATCTCCCAAGAGTCAAGACTTTGGGCTAATTTTAGTGAATTACATTCTATGAAACCAAATTTCACCTTTAAAAAGGTATTATAAAACAATTCAAGTATAATTTACTAATATGCTATCAAAATATTGCAATGTAATACATTTTAAGGCTATATAAAAAGAAACAGAAAAAGGAAGGAGATTGCAAGATATGAAGTGGATGGGAAGAAAAAAGGGGGTCGGATGAAAAAAAGTAGGGAGATGTCAAGGACAAAAAAACAGAGACATAATAAATCTCTTAAAACCTAAAGGTCAACTTTAAAAAATAGTTGAAAAGTGAAAAAATGTGGCCAAATAGATCAGATAGAAAGAAGTGCATATGCTAAAGTTTGCCTAAGACAGCAAAGTGCCTGATCTGACCTCTGTTTTCAGGAATTTTGTAAAAACATTGAAAATTGCGTTTGTTTTATTACTACATTCCCATGCCATAGCCAGTGTTTCCTGATGGATTTGTGTGTATGTGCTGCTCAGTGCACTGTGCTTTTATTGATTTCTACAGGGATCACTTCAAGCAAAAATAAGCATTTCCATCACTTTCCAGGACTTACCTACTTCTCTGTCAGTTTTTACCAAACCCACATTTTCCAATTATACTTGTCTGTCATTTGACATTTTTATCTGACAAGTAAATTAAGGTCATCAGGAAGAGTCAGGCTTGAAGAGACCCTTTGTAGTGATGTGGCTAGTTGAAGAAAATCCTAATATATTGGACTCCGGTGCTTCTGCCAGAGATGGCAGAAAAGAACAAGGAGAGCAAAATAATGACTTTCTTAGGATATACAATCCCAGCTCAGGATCATCCTGGTTAGAGACAGAAAAGACAAATGTAGTCATTGTGTCTACCTTCCTACATGTGCAGGATATAGTCCTTGTTAGAGGACGTGTGTTATTAAACTGATATGAACAGATTTAAAAATTATAATGAAGCTAATGTTAAAAATGTACTTATTATACAGGCTGGGAAAAATATTTTCTGTACATCTGGGTGTTATTACACTTCATTTTAGCTAAAAAGCCAAGAAACAACAGTTCTACTAAACAGAAATGAAGCAGGAAGCCTGACTTTTGCTATTCAGAGTATTCAGCATGATGTTATTTGGGCTATGGAACTCGTTTGTGGCAACAATAACTCTATCTTTCCCCAATACTTAGAACTTCAGTTATCAGGAAAGAAAGCCTGATATTGCCCACTTAGCAGTGAGCGCATATGAAAGATGTTCAGGAACAGGTTAGGCTATCTGAACCCCCATCATTTTTCTGCTGCACCTACTGAATTCACTCACCTGCATACAATTTTTTTCTATTGAACTAATCTTCAGAGGGCTGCAGTTTGTCCTCTAGTCCCCACTTCAAATGTTAGCAATATGCACTCATTTAGCGATTCCTTCTCTTGTTACAGCTTTTACAGCTTTATAATTCTGGTGCCTGAACAACCTCTGCAGCAATTTAGCAGGGGTGCTGACAGTTGAGAGATGATATTCAATATTTGATCTGAAGGCCTGGGTGATGATGATATTTGCATTTTTATTTGTGTCGCATCATTTTTTTGTTGCATTGATTTTTTCCAAGTGAATATGGCACTATTTAATATAGCATGATGCAAAGTCTAAAGCCATTCCCACAATATCAATAATTACTGTTTGGAAGAATAACTATTTAGTGCAGGGGTGGGAAACCTTTTCTGGGTCAGGAGCCACAGACCCACAAAAAAAACCCCTCACTGACATGGCCCCTAAATGAGAAGATACTCCCCACATTCTTACACACTAGAGCCTGGGGGAGGGGGGGGCAGGCCACTAGATTTTGTGTGCTCGAGCCCTGCAGGGAAGCAGCAGGGGCTAGAGTGCCAGTCTGGTTTCCCCAATGCTATGAGGAGCCCTGTTAGAGAGCCGTGAGCCCCGGGAGCTGGATCCAAGCAAGCTGGGGTCTGCATCCGGCTCCTGGGCCTGACGTTCCCCACCCCTAATTTAGTGAGTAGTTAGTAAAAGGTTTCAATGTACTTCAATGGATGATGTATGTGTTTAACCTGTATGTGAACAGTTTATGATCACAGATACTGAATGGAGTATTGTAACTTACTGCTTGCACATATCTTCATTAAATTATAGAGACAGAAACCTAATGACAGATTTAATGCATTGTTTTTATTGCAAATTGGACATAAATTACTATTGTTTTTATTTGCTTTGACTGCTGTTGCAAAGATAGTTCATACTATTAGTTGCTAAATCATTCACAAATATTATTTAAAGTCTGAATATTCACTCTTGTATTCAACATTTTTATGAGGCTTTTGATAGTTTGTGTACAGTATTCTGGGTTTCACAAAGTCCTAAGAAGATATACGTTGTACTAAGGCTTCTCCTCAAAGGAACCTAGATGATGTATTTAGGTTTGAATCAACTGAGACCCAAGGAAAGCTGAATGTTGTGTTTTCTGAGCCATGAACAACTGCATGAAATCCAGATTTGTTTTTCTTGAGGAAGCTGGGATTGATGTTGGTTTTGCATTTATTGAAGTCAGCTAAAACACCTAGTAACAGGGCATCTTTTCTTATCACTCAAAATACATATTCTGATCCTTATTTCTCAAAATTCTGAACCTTATATCTCATAGAAACTAAAAAAATAGAGAAAGATGGAAATGTATTGAAAGGTGATAATTTTCACATAAAATCAGAGGCAGATAAAGATCCTCGGAATTACAGAGCAAGAAAGCAAGATAATACAGCCTATTCCTTCTCTCATTCATAGAGCATCTAATACTGAGGTCTTGAAGTGATTGGCCTCTAGGAACCATGGCAATGTAAATGTTTAATATTAATAACAATAATAATTGGATCAGATGCACAGAAGCAATATTTTCAGATTATTTGTTTAGACCCAATGTTCGTTGGGGAAAGTAATAAGAACAGACAGATCTTAGACCAACATTTTTTGTTGCTAGGTACAGTGCAGGGAATTAACTGATGAGACTACACTCGGATAACTCTGACACCCATTAGTTCCCCTAGAGAAAACTGATTGGGTTTATTATAGGTAATTAGTGAATCAGGCTGATGGTCTGATTGAGCTAATGAGCCAATTAGTCCATCAGCTCAAGATTGATAAAGAAGGAGAGAAAGTAAGTGCCAGGGGAAGAGGAGTAGGGCTAGCTACGCCCAGTTTCACAAAGACCTCAGGGAAGGAAGACCTCCCCTCTTCCATGGCCCTAAATGAAAGATGGAAAGCACAGGAGATATTGTAAACAGTACTGTTGTGAAGGAATGTAAAGATGTTGGTGGCATGAACTCAAATAAATGGTACGCTGGAACACTCACATACAAAGGAACACTCACATGAAAAATAAGAGTCCTTTCTCTTTTTGCTTCTGTGGAGCTCAGTTATGTAGCCCTTATGCACACAATACTGGAAGAGTTCCCCACAGAACAAATGCAAAATTGGGTTGGGGGTTAGGCTGACTAAATAAATGTGCTGTCAATGTAACTAAAAGTCAGCTAAATTTTGATGCTGGCCAATTGCAAGAGTCTGAGAATTCTATAGGCCTTCATCTGATTATTTTGTAAAGTTCATACTCAAGAACCAAAGCTGGTTTTAGCAACTGTGACAGGACATAAAGGAAGTAGAATTTTATTCATTTAGAAGGGCCACAAACCATGTAGGACCATAACTATATTTTTAAAAAATATGTGAATGCAATTGCTTTCCCAAAGCCCTTATAAAACAATTCCACTTCATGAGTTTTATTTTCTTGTGTTTAGAAAGAACTCACAGCATTACTTTTGTTATTATCTTATTACTATTATCTAATCTAATAGGAGCATTAGGCTCTTTAAAATATGGGACCTTATTTTCACACTGTAATTGTGTGTGCAACTGTGCACTTTGGATGCACGTTACCTCATGTAGACATTGCTAGCTGGAGAGTCTGTCTAGCCATCTGTATCTGGTAGTGTGGCTATATGGCCATTAGTAGGCTATATGGATAATTACAAGACAGGGCAGTGCTGTTTTGGAGATGTTCAATTTTACATTTCATAACTACTGGCTATTTTATGAGCTGATAGCTCCAGGCATTGGAAATTCCAGCGATTGTGACTATACTTTATAAAATGTGATAGTCAGGAGCAGAAGTTTCAGGACAAAATAACAGAGGCAAAAATTGACAATGTTTGCACAGCCCTCGGATACCTCTTTAGTCCTTATCTGACAAAACTGCCTCCCCACTTTCAGAAGCAGTGCAAGGAACTAAGTACCTGCTTGTTGATCTCCTCTCCTTCACTCCACAGGCAAATTTCACCCATTGCCCTCATTAACCATCAAAGAAATCATTGCAACTTTCAGTTCTCCTGGAGTAGTTAGACATTTGCTGGGTGGAATATTACAGTCCTTTCTACGTGTATCCCACTCATTGAAACTTCTCTGTGTTTCTGTTTCAGCTTCTGATATAGCTGCCGAGCAAGGGCAGATTCTTGTAATTGCCACTGCTGCTGTTGGTGGATTCACTCTTCTGGTTATCCTCACTCTGTTCTTCCTAATCACTGGGAGGTAATTCATATTATACTGTACTAGTTCATTTAGGGTAAGATTCATCCCAATTAGCAGGCTCACATTAGTTAAATCATTACTCCATAGCTTATGTGGTATATTGGGTCTTGTGCAGTCCACAAGTTATGGCCTGAATGGCACCCTCCCTGAGTGTTGCCAGATCTCCCAATTTTAGTGAAACTCTTGTAACACTTGGTGTTTTGTTTAAAGCCTCACTCCTAGAGTCGTGTGATTAGGTAAGAATCTCCACTTTCATTTTTTCTAGCCCTCATTTCTGAGAAAAGTTTTAAAAAAACAGATACAAGGGCTCCCTAAAGATTCAGAAACAAGAAGGCAAATAAAAAGAATCCCAAATGTATTATTTATTTTAAAACGCGTGGTTTTAAGCCAATCTCATGATTGGGAGGGTGGAGCTTGACTCATTATTTTATAAGCTTGCAGTTAGCAATAGTACACACTTTATTAACCTTTTCAACGACCTCTTTCTGTATTCATTTTTTTAAAATACATAAATCTATCAAATACACAAAGGGAAAATATAATTCATCCCAATTAGCAGGCTCACATTAGTTAAATCATTACTCCATAGCTTATGTGGTATATTGGGTCTTGTGCAGTCCAAAGAAGGTCAGAAGAAGGACAACTAAGATAAATGTGATCAACTTAAGTAAGAGAAACGTGAATCTAAAAACATTAGAATTAACATACTAACTGTAATACTAATTAGATTGTAGAAGAGATTCCCCAAAGGAAGTGAGGAGAGTCCTATTTACTTGGGATTTTTAAAATTAGACTGAGCAAAGCCCTATTAAATTTTCTTTAGCAAACATTGATGCATTAACAGGGGATACACTAGATGACCTATTAAGACATACCCAATGATTCTCTTATTCCATTTCCATTTCCTTCCTGGCAATACAATACTGAATGTTCAGCTTGCTTCACTTGATATGACGATCACTTTGCTTGATAGGATAAGGAGTTGTTTTGATTCTGAGGCCAGATTCTGTTCTTTCTTACACAAATGTAAAATTGGAATAAATCCATATAATCTCATTGGCATTACTACTGGTTTGCACAGACATAACTGAGATTAGAATCTGGCTATTTGCCAGTGTGGGGAATCATGTCTCTCAGATCCTCCACAAAGGATATCCATAGAGCAATCTGCCCTCCCATACAGAAGAATGGACTCAACAGCCTCCACAGCTCAGCCACAACTGGGCTCCAACATGGCCTCTCTGACATCCAGGTTTCACAAGAAATGAGCAGGACAGCCAATAAAGGACAGAGCCAGGTGGGCAAACACCATCTCCCCCCTACCTAATTGAGTTCCTAAGGAAAAAAACGTGTGTTCCCACTCTCTTTTGTTCCTGGGAGACATTGGTTATGCAGCCTCTCTGCAGTTGTACCTCTAGGAAACAGAAAAAGTCTTAGGGAGATGGAGCTTCTGTAGAGGAATGTATAGATTCAACTATTCTCTCAGGGTATGTCTACACTACAAAGTTAGTTCGAACTAACATCCGTTAGTTCGAACTAACTTTCATAGGCACTACACTAGTGCTCCGTTAGTTCGAATTTAATTCGAACTAACGGAGCGCTTAGTTCGAACTAGGTAATCCTCATTCCACGAGGATTAAGCCTAGTTTGAACTAGCTAGTTCGAATTAAGGGGTGTGTAGCCCCTTAATTCGAACTAGTGGGAGGCTAGCCCTCCCCAGCTTTCCCTGGTGGCCACTCTGGCCAACACCAGGGAAACTC